GAAAAACAAGAGAAAAAAACGAAACGAAAAGACAAGGAAAAAGAAAAGAACAGAAAAGAAAAGCAAAACAAAACAAAGAAAAAAAAAAGAAAAAAATCTTGACCTCCCTGAAAAGCAAAGAACATCAAAATAGGGTAAAAAAACACAAATTCACAGATACGCCACTTTCTTAAAACCGTTTTTACAGAGGAGGTTCCAATATAGATACGAGATTTTAAACGGCATGGCTTCGAGACTGAATTAACGGACGCTACTATCATCAAGAAAGAGAGAGAGAGAGAGAGAGAGACAAGACAGACAGATAACGAATTAACTTACTATCTGAGGAGAAAATTACGTGATGATCATAACCATTTCTACTCAGACACGATTCCCGTCAAGGTTACATAATTTGCATAATTGTCAAATCAGCGGTTTTAGAAGAAAAAAATGGCGCCAGAAAAAAAATGAAAGATTGAAAAATCGAGTCTTTTCAATTCACTGCGATTTTTTTCCTTATTATATGTTTACGATCTTTTAAACCACGTTAAAAGCATAATAAAAATATAGATCGCTATATTTACATATAAATGAGGCCTTGATTTCAGAAGATGACTTTCCTAAAAATAATATGGTTGTAATAAACATAACAGATAAATATTAGATAAACAATATATCACAGCGTATGATGATGATGATGATGATAACAATAATGATAATAATAATAAAAATGACGTGATGATGATGATGATGATGATGATGATATTGATAATGATAATGATTATGATAACGATAATAATGATAATGATAACGATATTGATACTGATAATAATAATGATAATGATAATGATAACGATAATAATGATAATGATAACGATAATAATGATAATGATAACGATATTGATACTGATAATAATAATAATAATGATTATTATTATTATCATTATTATTATTATTATTATTATTATTATTATTATTATTATTATTATTATTATTATTATTATTATTATTATTATTATATTATTATTATTATTATCATTTATCATTATTATTATCATTTATCATTATTATTCTATTTTATCTAGTAGTAGTCGTGATAGTATCATTATTAATATATTATCATAATAATAATAATATCATCATTATTATTGTCGTTATTACTACATTATTATTATTATCATTTATCATTATTATTATCATTACTGTTATTAATATTATTACCATTATCATTTCGACAACATTGTTATTAGTATTACCAATATCATTATCTTACCATATCATAACCATTATAATCATCACTGCCATTATTATCGTTATCATTATCATTATTATTATCATCATTATTATTGTCGTTATTACTACATTATTATTATTATCATTTATCATTATTATTCTATTTTATCTAGTAGTAGTCGTGATAGTATCATTATTAATATATTATCATAATAATAATAATAATGATTATTATTATTATTATTATTATCATTTATCATTATTATTCTATTTTATCTAGTAGTAGTCGTGATAGTATCATTATTAATATATTATCATAATAATAATAATATCATCATTATTATTGTCGTTATTACTACATTATTATTATTATCATTTATCATTATTATTCTATTTTATCTAGTAGTAGTCGTGATAGTATCATTATTAATATATTATCATAATAATAATAATATCATCATTATTATTGTCGTTATTACTACATTATTATTATTATCATTACTGTTATTAATATTATTACCATTATCATTTCGACAACATTGTTATTAGTATTACCAATATCATTATCTTACCATATCATAACCATTATAATCATCACTGCCATTATTATCGTTATCATTATCATTATTATTATCATTTATCATTATTATTATCATTTATCATTATTATTATCATTTATCATTATTATTCTATTTTATCTAGTAGTAGTCGTGATAGTATCATTATTAATATATTATCATAATAATAATAATATCATCATTATTATTGTCGTTATTACTACATTATTATTATTATCATTTATCATTATTATTATCATTTATCATTATTATTATCATTACTGTTATTAATATTATTACCATTATCATTTCGACAACATTGTTATTAGTATTACCAATATCATTATCTTACCATATCATAACCATTATAATCATCACTGCCATTATTATCGTTATCATTATCATTATTATTATCATTTATCATTATTATTATCATTTATCATTATTATTATCATTTATCATTATTATTATCATTTATCATTATTATTATCATTTATCATTATTATTATCATTTATCATTATTATTATCATTACTGTTATTAATATTATTACCATTATCATTTCGACAACATTGTTATTAGTATTACCAATATCATTATCTTACCATATCATAACCATTATAATCATCACTGCCATTATTATCGTTATCATTATCATTATTATTATCATTTATCATTATTACTATTGTTATCATTATTATTCTATTTTATCTAGTAGTAGTCGTGATAGTA